CTTTTGACGAGTTAAAGTTGAAACTGATCTCAGCCCCAATCCTCGCTTGTCCAGATTTCAGCCAACCCATGACATTGCAGACCGACGCCAGTTTCTCCGGATTGGGTGCCGTTTTGACGCAAGGCGACGATGGAGTGGAAAAGGTAATTGCTTACGCCAGTCGCGCACTTTCGGAAGCAGAAAAGAAGTATTCCGTAACTGAGAAGGAATTGTTGGCTGCCTTATGGGCCATCAGGAAATTCCGCCCTTACTTAGTGGGGTACCACTTCATTTTGTGTACCGACCATTACGCTCTGAAATGGATAAATAGTCTGAAAAATCCTTCGGGAAGGCTAGCCCGTTGGTCGTTAGAGCTGCAGGACCACAGCTTTGCGGTCATGCATCGTAAGGGCATGCTTCATCAGGTTCCTGATGTGCTATCTAGGATTAATGCCCTAGGAGCTCCTATAGCGGACAAAACCCTGGTGGATTTTGAGAACCTCCACGATGAGTGGTATGTGGGTAGGCGGCAGCAGGTCCAACAAGAACCAAACAAATGGCCCGATTGGCGAGTGGAAGGAAATTGGCTGTATCATCTTAAGTTAGATCAACTGGCAGAAGTGACTGATGGAACAACAACCAGGTGGAAATTAGTAGTTCCACAAGACTTCCGAGAGAAGATATTTAAGGAGAACCACGATCTTCCGACAGCAGGACACCTGGGCATAACTAAGACGTTTCTGCGGATTGCCCAGGCTTACTTTTGGCCAGGGCTATTTAGGGACGTCGTTCGGTACGTTAAGTCCTGCGACGTTTGTCAAGTACATAAGGTGGAACAGCAGGTGCCCCGGGGCCAAATGGGATGTAGGAAGCAGAACGATCCTTGGGTGACCGTTATGTCCGATACATTAGGCCCATATCCAAGAACTAAAATGGGGCATCGTTATATAGTCGTGTTCCAGGATTCCTTCACCAAATGGGTCGAATGTAAACGCCTAAGAGCTGCCACAACTAAAGCAGTCTTGGAAGCTTTTCAGGAGCAAGTTATATAACAATGGGGGTTACCAAGCGTGCTACTGAGTGATAACGGTCCGCAATATATGAGCAAGCTCATGGCCACCATTGCTGACACCTACGGCATATTCCAGACGTTTACTCCTTATTATTGCCCTCAGGCCAATCCTACCGAACGGGTAAATAGAGTAATTAAAACAATGATTTCTTCCTATTTAGGACAACATCATAACAACTGGGATTTCTATCTACGAGAATTTGTGTATGCCCTGAATACCGCAGTGCACTTGGCAATATATGCCGGCCTACCTGAACCTGGGCAGAGAGCTGAAACTGCCTAGCATGATGGACGCTTCGGAAGGATCTCCGGAGCTGGACCCTACTCTTCCACAGGAGTGGGCTGAACAAATCTCGGCACTTCGAAATATATATCTCTTGGTATGAGATGACTTAGAAGAAGCGTATGAGAAAGCAAGTCGCCGATACAACTTGCGACGTAGGGACTCGGTATTTAAGGTAGGAGATTCTGTACTAAGAAAAAACTATGCCTTGAGCTCAGCTGGCGAGAAGGTTACCGCCAGTCTGTTGCCTAAGTATCTTGGTCCTTATACAATTAAAAGACGAATTTCGGCCGTAACGTATGAGCTAGAATCAAGAAATGGCAAGGCCTTAGGCCAATGGCATATTAAAGATTTAAAGCCCTACCATGGTAGATTATAGGAAGACCGCGGGCTTTGTCAGAAATTCGGTGAGTAAGAAGTCCGAGAATTGACCCTCGTAGAAGAAAGAGAAAGGAGGGGGATATGTCGACACGCTCGCGCGCAGGGGGGAACCCATATGGGAGTATTGGTGCAGGGGTAGTGTTGAACGTAGAGGGCAGAAAGTAGAGAGTAAAGAGTAGTGTTGAACATAGAGGGTAGAAAGTAGAGAGAGTAGAGGTGAGGTAGCTACCGCCACTGAAATGGGATCCCACTAAGAAACGTATATACAGAGTTAACCTTGCAACTATACAGAGAGGAACTCGAGGCTGCAGAAAAATGGCCTCGTGAAGTTAATTTAAGGTCCTAAATTATGCGCTAGTGCAAGGAAAATCCATGTCTAATGACAGTAGCCATTCTGTACCACTACTGATATGACTTTCGATGTATGCATACACACATATTTGTGAAGGTTTAGTTGGCCGTTTTGTACCACTGTTGATATGACTTCCGATGTATGCATACACACATATTTGTGAAGGTTTAGTTGGCCGTTTAGTACCACTATGTAAGGTGTAACATCAGGGGAGTTCGCTCCAGAAACTCCAACGTTCAAAGAAAAGGAGGTAGATGATGCAAAAATAATGTATTTTTATTTGTAAGACATAATCTTGGTATCTTATACCCAATTATTTATTGTATCAGTTAGGAAACTTTTATGTTCTAGCGTATTTCTAATGTTTAGTCCTTCCCAGAACAATACCCCTGGGTAAGAGAGCTGCACGTTATGTCAACTACCTCGCCAAGATATTTGTTAAGGCACCGGAAGAAGGTCCTGAGACGTGTACTAATCTATAGGTATAAGTAATAAGAGAGATTACGTATGTTGTCTACTAATCATCCACGCAGATGACAGGTTGGGACTAAAGGTGGGACATATTGTATATTCTGTTATGTGAACCGGCCTAAGCAATTGTATGCTTGTAGCAGTTATTGGAGGGTAAATCCACTAGGAAGTGGATAAAACTTGTAATCCTGAGGGCTTAAACCTTTCCGATGCCGTATGCCTGGATTTATCCTTTTAATTAGGCTTAGAAGGGTACTGGTAAGCCCGAGTAATAGGAAATTTTGTCCCGCTACGTGGCCCAAAATTTCCTCCTAGGGAGGGAAGAGTGTTAAGAGTACGATGCTCCGGCCGGAGCTATGTTTGAAAAGCCTCGGTGATCTGGCAACACTGCCTTGGGAGACGCTTGGCAGTCCTGTATACGCAGCCCACCCCCTTATGTCCACGGAGGGGGGGGGAGCAGCAGGGGATACGAGTAGTGATAGCCAGACAAGTTGGTTGTTGGTAACGAGGAACTAGAGAGAGGCAGTGGAGGCTCCTCTGGCAGAGGGACATCGCGGTACAAGGAACCGCAGGAACAGGAGTTGAAGGCGCCCCAGTGGGCCCTATCTTTGGGGGAGGAGGGGGTTCGAACTTGGGCCAACGAACCGTAAGTAGCGGAATTCGGGCTTACCCAGCTATTTGACCCTACTCAGGTTGGAGGAGGCCCCATACCTTGCCAAATTAAGTTCCGAAAAAAAATTGAAAGAAAGGATATGGCGGAACAAAAGAGTTTGTCCCCACCGGTGTGTACTGATGTAGTGAGGCCACTCCAATAGGTCCATAGTATTTTCTTTATTATACAACAGAAATAAATACTGCTGTATTATGTGATCACTGAGACGGGCATTAATGACCTACCCGGCCCATTAGGATCCTACCANAGTAAGAAAGTATCACATGGTGCTGCTCTTAATCATTTGGAATCCTTACTAGACTATCTTGAGAGTGAAGAAAACAGTTTATTAAGTGACAAGCTAATATTACATAGGCTTCGTACGCNAGTCAGTCAGTGAGTCCTGGAGCTACCGCCGAGTTAGCCAGCAACTAGTCAGTTGTATTCTGGCATTTGGAGTGTACTAATTGTGATACTGCAGATAGCAGTAATCGTAAATCTGTAATTTGGGTGATTGTAAGTGCGAGTGTGAAATAAAATTCGCTACATCGAATACATCGAGAATTTATTTGTCGCGATATAAGCCCGATACGCGACAGTATTATGAAGGTACAGTATTACAGTACTACTTTTAATAAAATTTGTCTCAACCGGTTTTTGATTAATCATGATTTCCATCCCCACCATTATCCCGGATAATCGAGAGTTGAGTGTACTATGAGTAGGTATCTGACCCTGAATAACAGATGTATGAATTCCTATTTTCTATTATTCTGTCACTCAGCATACAATGAAGCCTTTGATTGTGTAGCAGCTGTAATGTTGTGTCATGAGACTTCTGATCACTCATGACTTAAAAGTGCCAAAATTCATCAATGGCTGTCTGCAGTATTTGACGAGAATACTATGCAAGAATCCAGGATGTTTGATTGGTACAAATTTCCAGGCAGCCAGAAGTCCTTTCTTGATAATGCTTGAATTGATGTGCTGTGGTCTGCTACTGTTGAGACAAACATTTGTAGTTCTAAGGTCTGTTTCTTTGCCAACTGCTGTGTGACTCCATGTGAGACTTCTGACCAGACTGGATCTGTGGAAACTACCATTCAAGAACCCTTTGGGTTTAAATGAGCATTAAATAAACAGATGAAAAAACAGCTGAACATGAACCAGAAAAATGTGTGTGAAGCACATGAAGCACCCTCCAGATGGAAGAAGTGACTTTATGGAAAGAAGAGGAACTTGTGAAGAAACTGACAAACACATTCTGGCAAGCAACAGAGAACAAAACACTGGATCCAACCAAGTGACCTATACCAGGAAATAAGAGTCAACCTTCTACAAGCAACAAATGCCTTCTGGGGCACTTTCAAGGTTACCCATATCTACATTCTTTCATGTGGAACAACAGTGATTGCCAAATGTCAATCCTCTATAGTTAAGGCATGCATGCAATGATCAATTCAACATAAAAGGTCATTCTTATATACAGGAAAAAGTGACTCTTCAAGAAAACAATAGTCACATACAGCTCTACAGCAAAATTGATGTTCCTGAAGTGGGCTGTGAAGTGCTTAAACACCCTCCTCATACTCAACATGTAGCTCCCAATAATTTATGTCTCTTTGGATAAATAAAGGAGTCAATGGGAGACCGAAAGTCTGAACACAGTGCACAGCATGTTAGTTATGTGTGGTGAAGTTTCAGGACTTCTTTGCAATTAGGTTTATGGAACTGATACAGCAATACAAAAAAATGTGTGGAGTTTGGGGGGAACTACATAAAGGCCCATAAGTGCCATTAAGTCTTGCAAAAATATGTATTACATACATAATTATACTGTGACATATCAACCCATTGCTAGGCAACGACTCAGTAAACATATTCCAGCGAACATGCAACAGTAGATGTGGTCTCTGTGGAACCATGGTACAACGCATTGCTATGCAACACAACAATACTCAACAAAAGAAGATAGTGTTTTCTACGGGGTCTGACCCTGGGCTATATAACAAGAGTCTATTTGTAGTTAGGGAGATGAGTAGGATTACCTCCACCGTGACCCTGCGAGTCGTAGGAGGTGATGAAAAGAGAAGTCTCAAATGTGAGAGAGTAAAATATGGTCGCAAGTCCCAAGGGACTAGGACCCTAGAAACACTGCGCTGACAAGGGCCAGCAGCATATACAAAAGACAGACCCATCCTCTCATCAGAGAGGGCGCCCCACAGAAACAAGACCGTAACTGTCGAGGAGTAATAAAAATCTGGTCATGAGCCCCAGGAGGGTGCTTGATACCAAGACTTAATGACTGACTGATCGTCAGTCGCAATATGACTTTGACTTTGAGTTAGGGAGATTAGATTAGAGAATTGAAATTGGGAGGTGAGAAGCTGTAGGAATACAGAACAGTAGTCGGCAGAGAATTGGATCAAGTCTTCAGAATTAGCGGCTGCAGGAAATGGCAAGATGAATTACACTATCCCAAGAAGTTGTCATGTGTGAGCTGAAGTGACAGTGAGACTGTAATAAACCCGTTGCCAGGATATTACTAGTGAAGACTGAGAATCCCAGTGTGTGCAATGGTGAATTGAAAGTGTGTAGGTTAGCGATACCACTAGAATTGCCTGCAGTCCCAAACTGTGTATATGTATAAGTGTCAATAAATGCAATCATCCAATCCAGAACCTGTTATTATTTGTCATGGAACCCTGGACACATGCCAATATTAAGTTCTGGAATTTACTGTGCATTCCTCACACATTTATTTATATATGATGTGTCATTCATGAAACTGAAAATTACAAAATAACTTCAACCAGAAAACAGGAACTAAACTGACTGATAGAGCAGTAATGCCCTAGTGCATTTGTAAAGTATCTGATTCAAATTTTGACCAAGTTACTGACTATCCTGACTGGGTTTATCATGGTTTATCTCTTCAAGCAAATACTAGGATAATGCTTTAAAATAGGCCAAAAAACCTCTATCAAAATCTTTATCTTTTCTCTGTTCAAGATTTTCCCATGGTGATCAATGCTACATAAGAAGAAAGCAGTCTTCTGGGATTTGGCACCGTGTATAAGTGGTGTTAACCGACGTTTCGGAGCAACGTATCGCCTCCATCTTCAGGGTAGAAGAAAAAGTATAAGAAATCTGCAAGCGACAAGACCGTGAGAACGGTAAAAGCAGACCTCAAATCTTACAATGCTACATAACCTCTGCAGTTTAAACAATGTCATTAAATAGCCTAAAATCACTCAATTAATCACTGAGCTCTAAATTTTCTTAATCAGGCGAACATTTAATGACATACACGTTTTACACTATTGATATTTTATTTATGTGTAGACACTGTCAACATTATGTGATTATAAACACAAAATTTCATAGCTCTTCATCAGTCTGTTCAATAGCTAAAAGAAGCAGACAGGTAAAAATTTAAGAATGACAATTACTCTGACAGAAAATGTAACCAACAGAATTATTAACCTTTAACATGCGGACTTTTAAATTGCCAGCAGCCCTGTACGGCCAGAATTTAAATTGCCCTAATTAATTATCATTGCAAACTTTCAGAAAAAAAATGCATATTTTCTGTTCTATGCAACATAGAAATATGAACTAAAAAGAACCTGAAAGACAACAAAGTTTTCTACATATATGTAAAAGAGCAAGTTTTACAAATGAAAATTAACTGTGATTATTTTGTCACGAAATGCATAATATAATCTTTATTATATACTAGCTGTGCCCAGCCACGCCTTGCTGTGGCTCAGTCTGCCCGTTGCAGATTTCTGCTGTGAAATCCATGTTCATACTGGAATTTTCCTTGCGCATTCGAAGGAAAATATCTTCAGCCATGTGCTGCTTTGTTGATTCCTCGATTCCTACGTGACGACCCATTGTTATTGTGTTGTCTCTGTGGGAACGCTCCGTGTATTCATCGTAACCGTGGGGATTTGATACAGTATCGCTATTGTTACTTCCTATGCAACGGTCTGTTCTAGCGTTTCCATAGGGGTCACTCTTCTGAATTCCAAATTCCAATTCCGGTTTTCAAAAGCTGCATGTCTTTACCTGTCACAGGTGTGACATCTATATAATGGGTATATAGAAACACGTGCATGTTCAAATGCAACGTTGTATCAAAGTTTCAAAGCAATCGGTGAAGAACTTTCGGAGATCTTCGAGGGCTAACAAACCAACATTTACATTTTTATTTATCATCATCATCATCATCAGTAACCTGTCAGACGAAAGGTCCACAGTCTCTTCCAAAACAATTCCTCCACTTAATGCGATCTAGAGCTTTCTCCTTCAAATGACAGTATCCTCTTCTGTCCCCAACGTCATCCAGCATCTTCATACGTCTTCTTCCTCGTCTTCTTGTCACTTCTATTAGCCCCTCTATCTTTCCTTCAATAACTTCTTTTAGAAGGCAGTTTCTGCGTAAAAATGACCAATTCAATTAGCCTTCCGTTTTCTTATTTCGTGTAGGATATTGTAACGTGTCTTGCTACTGAGAAGGCCGTAGAGATTGTTAATTGGTTTATTCAACAACCTACAAGTAACGGCTACAATTAATTATCACACAGTTGCAGGGTTTCACACTTTATAACCCTAATCGCATTAATCTGTTTACAGTGTTTGCGGGGTTTCACGATTTATAACCCTATTCGCAAATCAATTCACTCTTTTGTCTTCAGTAGTCTACATGTTTACAGTACGGGAGCTATGTATCACTGTATCACACACTCCCAATTACACAATTACATACACGTCCGGTTCTTCTTTCCGCGACAGCTGCTATACTCCAACTGTAGTCGGCTGACTGGAGAACTGTTGATAACACACTCG